TGCGAGCATTGTTAGGCCTCCTCTCGCTAGGGAGAGTTATCTTCTGAGGTCTCCGCTCCCTTGAGCTCCACTATGGCAGCATTTGCAAATTGTAGGCTCTCTGTGAGCCTCCTTGCAAGATGTGCTGAGTGTGGGGCGTAGTTAGGTCTCCTCTCGATTTAGAGAGTTGCCGTGCTGAGGCCTCCGCTCCTAGAGCCCGGCCAGGCAGTTTGCTAAGTTGTTAGGCTCTATATGAGCCTCCTTGGCCACTGCAAGCGTTGTTAAGCTGCCTCTCGCTAGAGAGAGTTATCTTTATTGAGGCCTCCGCTCCCCAGAGGTCCGCTAGAATAGCAATTACAGGTTGTATGCTCTCTGTGAGACTCCTTGTAAGATATCCTGAGCGTGAGGCGTCGTTAGGTCTCCTCTCGATTTAGAGAGTCTTCATGCTGAGGACTCTTTGTGAGCCTCCCTGGCTGCTGCGAGATATTTATTTTAAGGTAGGGTAGTATGCTAGGTTGTTAGGCTCTCTGCGAGCCTCCTTGGCTACTTACCTCAGTGTGGAGTTTTGCTAGTCCTCTCATTATGAGAGTTGTTGTATTAAAGTGTTAGTGTTCACTCTTCAGGGCTGCCTGAACCAAAGTCCGAAATGTTATGCTCTCTGGGAGCCTCCTTGGACGCTGGCCTAAATATGATCGTAGTTAGGCTTCCTCTCTTTAGAGTCATCCTGTTGAGGCCTCCGTTCTTGAGAAGCTCCGGTCTATGATTGTGTTGCTGGTGTGCACCTTCGCGATGAGGACTTCTTTCGTCGTTTGAGTTAGCTCAGCCAATAGGGCACTCATCAATTCAGCATGGTGGCATGGGTATTCTGTTCCCCATAGCACCATCTAGGGGACGCAGCACGAATTCCCTTTCGAAAGGGAATGTCTCAGGTTACACATGCTACCATGGTTCCATGAGAAGAGGAACGAGACGCTGTGTCCCTTTGCCATGCTTCCGGTATTCCTGGACACACCTCTTTCAGACAAGAAGTGGATTACGTATTTCACAGATGCCCTTTTATACTTACGGTAACACAAGTGGTGACAATCACTAACAAGTGGCTGAAGGAATGGGATGAATATAAAAATAATAAACTAAATAGGGCTGGGCAATATGGCCAAAAAATCATATCTCTGTATTTTTTGGTTAAATGGCGATATATGATATATATCTCGGTACTTTCTACGTTTTTCTATTTGGATAAAGAAAATCTGTATTTATTTAAAAAAATGTTATTTCACATTCTGCCCAATGATATCCTACAAACAATGTTGATATTGCAGGTTATGGAAACAAATATAGTAAATGTAATGTAGGCTATGCAATATATTATGTGCAAAAAGCTTTTGTTTTTAAATTGACTAAAGGCTAAACTAAAAATTAAAATAAAAACAAAAACAAAAGCACAAACTAATTATATTAGCCTGCATTTGATTACCCCATTATAATGGCCACTTTCATAAAAAAATTCCACATATGGCACATTTATTGTCTCCAACAACAAATATTTTAGCAATATGTTTATTTTAGTCAGAATTATTGCACTACTATTCTATTGTGCTCCGTCTGTTTGGCGCACATGCGCGCGGGCACTCGTTCACGGAAGCTTGAATTTTAGCGGAGATTCACTTGCAGAAGCTCGTCCTCTCCTGACAGTGAAATGGACATATTTGTTTGACTTCTTACTTTTACAGATGGAGAATATACATGTGAAATGTAAGTTAAGCACTGATGAAAGCACCACATCTCAAACGCATTAAACAGCGCAAGTATTTATCTGTCAGTCAGCAACAGTATCTGTCAGAGCATCTGACAGAGCATCTGACTGTTACGTCCGATTGGGAATCGAACCCGGGTCTCCTGCGTAGCAGGGCAAAGCACTACCTTGGTGCCACAATGTGGTGTATTCGACTCAGAATGCAGAGGCAGAGACAAGAACTTAGTTCAAGGGCTTTACTTGACAAGCAGGGCAAAAGTATCCAACAAGAAATGGCAAAACAAAAAGTAAAAATCCAGGCAAAGTTCAGAGTCCACTATCTCAGTCAGAATCAGTGAAAAATCCAAAAGCAGGAGGCAAACTCATAATCCAAAAAACAGGCATGTACAGGTTGGTAACAAACAAAAATACTCTGAATAAACTCACAGACAGATATAGTCAAACAAGACTGCACCAGTGTCAACTCAAGACTGAGCAAATAACTCAAGAAAACAAGGGGTTTAAATAGGCAGCTTAACAAGGTTCAGGTGAACCTAATAAATCAATAATGAGAACATGTGGCAGGCAAAAAACAACAACAAAAGAACACTGAGGACCTCACATGGCCAAAAAAAAGAACAACAGCCACATAATTCATGACACTGGCAGGACAAGCTGCTTTAAACTTGTTAACTATATCTTACCAGTTATTTTGAAGCCCTTAATATAAGCTTGTGTCATGTTTAGGACAAATTGTACTATGTAGCTACTTTCACTGCAGCAGCTCACACTGCGACCTCCGCTATTTTTTTTAGATGTGCTCATATCAAACTACTGTATCGATATAAACGGTATTGCCTCATTCCATATCGTTTAAAAAAAAAAAAATCGATATATTGTACAAACTAGAGGTCGACCGATTCATCGGTTTTGCCAATATATCGGTACCGATAGTTGATTGGTGGAACTATCGTTATCGGCAAAAATCCACACCGATAGTTTTTCCGGGTTGCGTCCGTTGCTGAAGCGGCTGAGAAGTGTGCGCGGTCATTACACAGCACGAGAGCGCTGAGAAGAGACTGCTGGCATTATACAGAGCGAGAGCGGCCTCTAGAGGACAAATAACAAACTATCACTGGCTGAGTTGTTTACGTTAAAGAGATACTCCACTTTTTTTGGAAATAGGCTCATTTTACAACTCCCCCAGAGTTAAACTGTTGAGTTTTACCGTTTTTGAATCCATTCAGCCGATCTCCGGTTCTGGCGGTACCACTTTTAGCATAGCTTAGCATACATCATTGAAGTGGACAAGACCATTAGCATTTCTAAAAAAAAGAGTTTCGATAATTTTCCTATTTAAAACTTGACTCTTCTGTAGTTACAGCGTGCACTAAGACCGACGGAAAATGTAAAGTTGCGATTTTCTAGGCTGATATGGCTAGGAACTATACTCTCATTCCTGCGTAATAATCAAGAAACTTCAATGCCGTACCATGAGAGCAGCAGGCGTAATGATATGACGCAGCGCCTGAAAATAGTTCTGTTGTGTTGACGGAAGGTAGCCTATTTTCAGGCGCTGCGTTGCGAATTATTTAATTCATTTAATTATTAGTTTTGTGGTGGGGCCAGTGAAAATTGAATCATTGAATTAACTGAATAGAATCGATACCCAGACGTAATCTTTATACTGTATAAAGGCCCGGTTTCACAGACAGGGCTTAGATTAAGCCAGGATTAGGCCTTAGTTCAGTTAGGACATTTAATTAGTTTTTATAAATATGCATTAGAAAAAAACAAAAACATTTCTGGGGTGCATCTTGAGACAAAAACAAAACAAAAACAATTTTAAGATAAGCAGTGCAAGTTGCTTTCAGTTAAGACAGCTCACACATGCATTTTAGTCTGGGACTAAGCTTGAGCCTTGTCTGTAAAACCATTTAATAGGTTTTGACTTTTTTTTTTTAAAGACACCATTATGAAGCACAGAACAATTCATGAAACCATAATAGAAAAAAGTATTACACACCAAGAAATTATTTTTTATGTTTTGGCAAACCAAAATTGTATTCGAGTGCGTAACAAAACATGAAACGTGACAACGTAATAATGTGTTGAATTGATCATCCCTGACCTGACAATCTTGTCCTCAGTTCAACTTTTCAGTTGAAATCTACCACCGTTGACCCTTGTCTGAAATCTGAATGCATGTTAGTGTGGTTGTAATGTTCATTTGTTATCCAAATAGCTTTTACAAAAATGATGATATTGAGATTTTAATTTGAATAGATTTTGAATATGACCTTGTGACATTTTAAAACAAACTTACAAAACCATTGCTGGAGAGAAAACACAGTAGTGCAATTAAACTTTAGTCTCCACTTCTCTTGGTTTCCCAATTAAACCCAAATTTACGACTTGCCATAAAAGGTTGTAATGGGATCAATATTTATGTGTTCAATTGACAAAATCAGACTTGCAACTATTTGTATGTTTTTGTCTTTTTGTATGTTTTCTTTTGGCTGAATTCTTTTGACGTTCTGGTTGATATCATTTATGATCACAGTGCACTAGAGAAGACATTTTTTAGGCATACTTTTTCTCTGAATTTATAAAATATTGGTTATTTATAAAATATTGGTTATACACTTGGAGTTTTTGATTAAGACATAAAGCGTTTTTACTCTGTGAGGTTTCCTGGAGCCGCCTGCACCTAGCACTACTAACATTCAGAATTTAATGAATTTCCTAATGATTTTTAATGAATTTAATGAATTAGAACTGCTTTGGCTGCCAGTGAAAATATAGTGCTTTTGTATTCATAATTTGCAAACAGAGCAAAATTAATTCTTTCAATGTGAGTAATGTGCTATGCAAATAAGAACTTATACTGTAGGCATTCTGTCATTGGGCAAAACTGTAATATACTGTAAATGTATATGTTTTTCTTCATTTTTGGCGCGATGAATAGGGCTTTTGATTAAATTTCCTTAATTTGAACTCGACCCATTCATTTTCCTTTGTGCTCTCCCCATTACAGTTCAGGGTTTTTTTTCTCTCCTCATTTTAAGATGCCATTTTGTGTGCCAATCAGTGTGCAAGCCAGTTCAAATAAGTCTCGATTGGATTCATTGCGTGTCTTGAGATATCAGCGATTTTACTTTCTGTAAGGACCAAAAATTTAACTAGATAAGAGATTGAGCTGAGCTTTTGTTTTCTGCATCTATAATATTTTAACCAAGTTCAGGAATGGTGCCTCTGACTTTGTACTTTTTACTTTTTTTCACAGGTGATCTGGAATCAGGTAAGAATCCTTTTCTTCCTCTCAATTTTCATAATACATACTCATCCCTCATCCCCTGAGAGAGCACATGGCTGCTGAAAGCTTTGATATGCACATTCTCTCTTCATAGTCGCAGGGGCCTAGATGTGGTGTTCAGCATGTATCCGTTCAAGATACGAGCAAGTTTCACAAGCAATTTTGATTTGAGGCAGTATAAAAACATGTGGCCCAACATTAACATTTGGACTATCTTTTGCCTTTTCTTTTTAGCTGCAGCTGTTTTTTGTGGAAACGGGGACTGCTTGGTCGCTCACACGAATTGAATCGTAATGTCCTGAGTGCGGGTTGGCTTTATCTGTCTATTACATCAGAACAGACAGCTAGAGTGGCCAGGAAGCTTTGAAGTGCTGTGAAAGCTTTTATAAATTTGAACGCTCTTACACACGTTACCATTTAGACAAAAAAAATGTATTTGAGGTGATTGACACACATGTCGGGTTTTCACATCTGTGCTTTTCCACGGTGAAATAACCACATTTACCATCCCAGGCAAATATTCCAGAGAAATTCGTCATGCTATATTTCAGGAGCTTAGTCATATTCCTGCACACGGCTCCCGTTTAATTAGAGAACTGTATCACACATCTGAACTCACCATATCCTCCCCGCCAGGTGACTCAAGATGAAAGACGAACCACTTTATAAAATAACATTTTCAGCGATTTGACAGACATTTTCAAGGGATGCATTAGCCATTAGCCACAGCAGTTAAGCACACACACTCCACTCTACACTGTCAGCGCAAGCTTTGTTATTGAACCCCGTAGTTCAACACTCCAATCAGCTACATTTAAATTTGAGTATATAATTAAAACAAAATATAATAATAATAGTAATTTACACAGTTCAAAAGTTTGACATCAGATGGGGAAAAAAAATGAAAAAAGAAATTAATACTTTTGTTCAGCAAGCATGCATCAGAAGTGACAGAAAATACTTTCTTTGGTAGCAAATCAGAATGATTTATGAAGAATCATGTGACACTGAAGACTGGAGTAATGATGCTGAAAATTCAGCTTTGTCATTACACTGGAGTAAATTACATTACATCAAAATATATTCAAATAGAAAAGTTATTTTAAATTGTAATTATATTTCACAATTCTATTGTATTTTTGCTGTATTTTTGATCAAATAAATTAAGTCTTGTTGATTATAAGAGAAAATTGTTAAAAAATGTTAAAGGACCCAAATTTTGAAAAGATGTGTGTGTGTATATATACTTCTTCCTCTAACTCCTTTTCTTTATTATAATGATTTGTATTAAAGGGATTTTCAACATTTCTATTGCACACTCGAGTTAAGTAGGCTAATTATCTCATGCCAGGCTTTTGACTGGTGCCCAGGAGTGAATGATGGTTTGTAGTGGCAGGTTTGGGTGTTGTTGTTTTTTTACTAAGAATAAACAGAGGCGTCAATGAGTTTGAGTTTGAAGTTCCGTGTAAGGAAAAAAAAAAGAAGAAAAAACGGTGCAACAGTGCAAATGGAAATTTTAGAAAGCGAAATGTATATTGTGCAATTTCAATCTGTCAAACAACAAAATAAACTTGTTACTACCAAGAAAGTGTCTATACACAATGCATCCTCCAGCCTAGGGTGAAGTTAGTGAGTACAAAAACAATGAATTGGAACAAATGTGTAATTTACTGGAAAACTATGCTAGTGAGGCTCTTTGGTGCGGCAGATTTTTGAGCAGCCTCCGGAGTTGTAGATGGGCGCCGCCGGTGTGGAAGTGGATACATTCCTAGAAAACAAAGTGCTTGAATTTTAGGAAGCTCCATGTCGTTTGCCAGACCCCCTTTAATACCGTATTGTTCTGAATATAAGACTACTCTGATTATAAGATGCTTCCCCTCCCCCCTTTTTCAAGATGTATCTTTTGGAAAATGGCTTCTATAATTCAGCCCATCTAAATTATAGTGAAAACCATGAAGCCTACCAAAATGTAATTAACAGTAGAAGTGAAATCTTTGAAATCTAGTTGACTTACGTTTTACAATCACGTACAGGGAAGTTTGGTCCCATCAGCGAGGCACGCAAACATGAAAGTCACGTGGCTCTTAGACTTGACTGTTTGTTTTTTTAAGACTGTCTTTTTGTGTTCGCGATCTTCTAACATTACACTGCACTGACACACTGTATTTCTTGGGATACTCGTTTTACACGTATTTGGTGTCTATTGTTGTGGGTGTATTAATGACATAGAAAAAACAGGTTCGTCTTATATTCAGGGTCTATACTTTTACAAGTATCTCTAAGAAAAAAACTTGTCTTTTATTCGGAACAATACGGCAATATCCATAACTCAAATATTGTAGTACAGCTGTATGAATGTAGTAAATGTAAAACCTGTTTAAAAGTCAGTGGTCCGTTATGCTCTGTTTATTGTGGGAGATTTTTTTTTAACAATAGCAGCAGCTTCTCCATTGCTATATTTGGCAAACTATTGCAAAATACTTGCAACGCTCTTACACTGCATTCACACGCGGCGCCGACGCTTGACGGACGGTAGGGCTGCTCGATTATGGAAAAAATCATAATCACGATTATTTTGGTCAGTATTGAAATCACGATTATTTCACATGATTTTGGGAACGTGTTGCATTTATTAAAAAGATTTATTTCTTAAGAAACAATTCTTAAAAAATCTAAATTTTAACATTTATTGTACTTTATTTAGTGTACTGCTTTTATTATTGCTTGACAATTTCAATTTAATTCTTGTGGTTTTATCCCGATCTTGATTCAATTTGGATACATAATTAGGTAGGCTACAGTAGATGTTAATTTTTCTCAAGAAAGAAAATCGCACCTAATGCTGTAAACATAGACTACAGAGAGCCCTGTCAGCTGGTATTATTAAAGGTTAAAAATAACTCCTCAAATTAAATATAGGCCTAATGCGTTTTTTATTACAACAACTTTAGAATATTTTAATGATATAAGTAAAAAATATAATAAATATGTAATATAGTGCACATATTTAGCAAAATACTAATTTATACTAATACTAAATGTATTATAAAATACTATTTTTTTCTAACCAACTTACGTGCTATGGTTATTAAATGGCTTTCCTGAGGTAAATGTAACGTTATGTTACATGTAGTCGACTCCAGCTATTTTATTGACCTCTTTCCGCGGTTGAAAAACACTGATTGGTCGATATTACAGTATGTATGAGGCATAAACATTTCGGTAAGTTGTAGGGGATGTGCGCGTGTCATTCAGAACACAAGACAAAATAAGAGTGTTCTTGCAAAACAGAACATGGCAAAATAATCATTTTTACTCGATTGTACTATTTTGGTGATCGTTGGAAGCCGAAATCGAAGTTCAATTAATTGCACAGCCCTAACGGACGGTGTGTCTGCTCCCCTCTGGGATACCCTTTGTTTAACATAATTTTCAATCAATTTTACCTGTCTGTCAGCACATTGTACTGAATATCACACTTGTCTGAGTTAGCAGTCATTTCTGCAACACAGTTCTCAGCTTGTTTTGAATGTGTAGCCAACATAAAGGATATGAGGCACATTTACACTGCACAACAGAAATAATTGTAATGTTAGTTTTTTTTTTCATTTAATAATCATGATTTCAATATCAAGGGAAGTAACCATTGATCACACACTACCAAATGAGCAGGTGTCCTCATCTCTTACGTTCTATGATGCATAGGATTAGTTCAGTCTATAGTCTCACATAGCCAGATCTATATTGTCTCAAATATACTTAATAATCAAACCATCGTAACAGTATAATTTCAATTACCTCATCTATCGACATTCTGTCTGTAAATTGCAGAGCTGAGCTTGTGCAAACATATCCACATCACTATAATCAGATGCTTTCTTAACTGCTGCTTTCTCACCATTGTCATTTTTGTTGTTTATTTTATTGAGAGGAAAGCGTGCAGCACATATTTACATATTCATCTAAACGTCATTCTCAGCAGCATGGAAGTTAACAGTATATCGCTGCAAAGGTATTTCCAACTACTTTTTACTTCCAAGCAAAGGACCATAAATGTGTCAAAGTAGCCAGAGCAACTTTTTTCTATTTACTGTTATGACGAATGTCACACGGGCAAGTGGCGTATGTACTTACTTTATTTTATTTATAAAGCACTTTACAAATGCACCTGCAGACCAAAGTGCTGTACAATCAGCAGCATAAAAACAAACCACACATAAAAACAACATGCAACTTACTAATACAGATACTAAGCCCAACCTCTCAAAAGCTAAAGACAAGAAATAACTTTTAACACGAGCTTTAAATACATTTAAAGAAGTGATCTCTCTTCGTTCAAGAGGAAGACTATTCCAAAGCCTCAGACCCGCAACAGCAAAGGCCTGATCACCTTTTAACTTTAAATGAGACAGAGGGACAGAAAGCAATAACTTATTATTTGATCTTAAAGACCTAGGGACTTGATGAAGAGCAGTAAGCTCAGATACATAAGCAGGAGCTATCCCATGCACTGCTTTAAAAACATACAGCAGAGTTTTATATTTTATCCTGAAATCCACTGGTGAGAGAAGCTAAAGAAATGTGATGACTTTTCTTAGCACCCACCAGCAGCCGAGCCACCACATTCTGAACTCATTGCAAGCGTGATATAGTGGTCTGACATGACCCTACATACAAAACATTGCAATAGTCAAGGTGAGACAGAACAAAGGCATTAATAACCTTTTCTAAATCTTTTCTCAACAGAATAGGCTTTAATTGTTCAATAGTCCTAATCTGGAAAAAGCAACTCTTAACCACGGCATTAATCTGCTTATCAAATTTCAGCTCTGGGTCAAACACAACACCTACATTACTTGGTCATGGCAATAGTCTGACCATGTGCCAAAATATGTTGCAATATCGAAGCATCCTCTGGCAGGGCCAAAAAGCATAATCTCAGTTTTACTTTGCTTTAACTGAACCAAATTATGGGTCATACAGCT